GATGGGACATGCCAGGAAGCCAAACTGCTGTGGGGAAGTGGTGCCAGGCTAGAGGACACCTCAAGGTGCCTCTCTGCACCATACCCACGTGGCAGCCCTAAGACATCACTGGTGGTCCAGCATTTGTGAGTATGGGACTGAGGATGTCTGCTAAGTCCCTGTGCTGTGGTGGCCAGAGACTCTTGCTGGGGCTCCACCAGGCTTCTGGAGAAAAGCCCGTGTCCCAGGCAGGTCCTGGTCATTGCAGGGTGAGGACCTGGCTGCTGGTGCATCTCTTGCAGCCATTCCATCGTGCTGTGCCAAGCCCATGTGCACCAGGCACAGGTGGATGCCTTCCTGTTCAGCACAAGTGATGCACAACCTCAGCTTGTAGTAAGCGAGCAGCAAAGAAAACGTTAGGAGGAATTTCTAACTCAGTGAGAAGTCGTATAGGCCGGTGATTAAAAAATGGTTATTAAAAAAAAATTAGAAAGAAAACCCAAGTTCTGTAGTCTGCATGTCTTCCAGGATCTGTCGTAACAGATTCGTCCGAGCCGGTTAACGGTATTTGCGGTTTGCAAGATGCTACATGTCTGAGTAAGATGACAGACACATTATTATCACCTCTCCACTGCGATCTGTCCAAACCTGTCCCAGGATGCAGCTCCGCAGCTGCTTGCTGGGGAGTGCAAGGAAATTAGCAGCCGGAGGCAGCACTTTTCTTCTCTCTCCCTTGCCAGGCTAGTGGCTTTATTGGGATCCATTGACTGCAGTCCTGGACACGTCTTGAGTAAAGCTAATGAGGAGAGTGGAATGCAAAAGAGGAGGAGGAGGAGGCTGGTTGGGAGAAGGGGGGAGGATTTGTGGAAAAAGTAATTGTTGAGCAAATCATTTCCTTCAAGAGAGAAAGAAGGACTTGGCTGCAGCCCTCCTGAAGCAGGCAAGTCTAGACGCTTCGGTGTCAACAGTTGAAGATAAATAAGATTTTATCAGCTCCAAATCTGTTGGGACACATCCTTCTAGCGGTTCTGCTGCCCAGAGTGGAGCAGGGACAGATGGACTTTGCTGGCAGGTCTCTGTGCTGAAGATTCAGGTTGTTTTTTGAGCAAAGATCTTAGCATACGTGAGGAAAGCCCACCTCTCCTGTGTCTCCCTTCCTGCACAATAGCTGCAGGGCTGATTGGGGCAGGAATTTCTTCCAGAGCAGCTTGGATGTGTGCACAGGGTGAACAGCAGCATTCTTAAGCTTAACTTCAGTTTCACTGTGTCACATCTGCAGCTGCATGAGTCTCCATGAATTTCTGTGGAGTATTTGGTCACTTGAACCTTGTAATGCACAAAACATTTCCTTGGTCGCAGTGGCTGCAGTAGTAAGATAATACTTAGAAAGGAGAAATTTGGCTTTTTCTTTCAGTCTTACTGCTCTGGACTTGTGCTACAAGACATTACAGGAGCAGAGAAGCAGCAGCAGCAAAAGAGGTGTCATTGTATTTTCCCTGCAGCAAATAGAGGTGTGCTTACATTGAGAGCCACATGCCTGTAAGAGAGAAAAAACAAGAGAACAAGAATAGGTGCTCTGCAAGTTTATGTAAGCTTAGGGTGGTTGCTCAGTTATACTGCTGCTGTTTATGCTGTACAATCATCCACAAGCCACAGCGACGTGAACCTGTTGTGCTCTGCAAGCACAGTAACAGGCTGTCTGACTTCCTTCTCCAATCAGACATGACTTGAAGAATACGAAGGGCTTCACTAACAGCCTAAAGCCCAGAACAGGGATTGGAGGTAAGGGAAGGAGATGCCTAGAGATAGAACAAATTCAGACTTTTGTGTAGCTGTGAAAGAAACGCTAGGATTGAGATCTTTCAGAGCTGCCACACCAGCACCAGAGATGCTGGGCAATGTGTTCAGGCACCCAGGGGTGCTGCTGGGGCATCAGCCCCACTCGGCTCCCCCTCTTGGCCCCGTCCATGCTTGCTCCCCATATACCAGGGACAGTCCGCTGGCCGGCAGCCTAGCTCTCCTGCAGCACACTCCCAAACCTGCAGGAGCCACAGCTGCCACCAGCTTGTAAAAACTGCACACAAACAGGAATGGTATGGATGGACAGCCTGAGGCCTGCCCTCAAACCGTATGGCAGCGACACAGCCGTGGCAAAAAGATGAGGCGACTGCACCGCTCCTTGAGATGAACACTGCTGTGTTGTTCCGGGGTTCTGATTTTTCACTTGGCAAATCTCCTGTTTTGCACTTGAGGAAGGCACAGTGCCTTGGTGCACTCTGTAAGCCAGGTGCGTGCACTTCAGCTGCACCTCAGGAAGCATCAATAACTGAAAGCACAATTTTGCCCAGCTGTAGATGACCATGGAGGAGCAGAGCACCTGCATGGCACTCTACTGGGATTCTCAAAGCACGCATTTTACTGTCCCTTATGTATACACTGCTTTTCTTGGCTGAGAACACGACTAGACACATAAGAGTCTCCGTGGATTCTGAAAATGCACTGAAATATAACGCTCACTCCCAAAGTGAGCATGAACAAGCAGGATTTCCAAGACCAGGACAGCTTTGCTCTGGCAGTGACTGCAGCAGGGCACGCAGGGAGCCAGGCGCTGCTGATCCAGCACCATGAGCACAGTCTCACAGGATGCAACCCTGATCCTTCTTGCCCAGAGTTATCAGTGTGGAGTTCCTTAAAAGAATAGTTTGTTATTGTTGAAGGATCTTTGAAGGCAATGCTGGAGCTGTTAAGACATGATAAGGTTATCAGCAGAGGCATGCCTGTGTTGAGCAGCAGCGTTTCTCCCTGCGGGGCAATCGCTGTGCTATTTAACAGAGATTTATCCATGTCATAACATGGTATAATGAGAGAATTTGTTACCAAAGAGCTTGCCGTAATGCACCTCTACTCTTCCAGAGCAGTTTTATTTCCCAGGCGTGTTGAGGGCTGCCCGGGAATGTCTACATGAAAGGATCCTTTGACAGGAGTTGTCAGTGTTTTAACACCTGGCAAGGAAGAGCCCCCTCCACATAACCCTTGTTTTGCCACATTGTCTCCCCAAAACAAGAGCATTAAGTCCCCATTGCACCCATGCAAGCAGGTTGTATGGGCTCAAGCCTTGCTCCAGTGCTGCTCTCTCTTCCCATTGCTAGAAAGGCATTGCACCCCTACCGTATGTAAAGGACCAACTAAAAGGTGACACCATGACATGCCCCAACGTCCTACCAGCAGCCTTGCACTCAAGTTATTTGCTTGCTGCAGAGCCCTCAGCTTTAGAAGTAAGCCCTCTGCCCATGAGAGAGCAGAGATGCTTTCTCACTGCGTGGTATTAGGAGCAAAGACTCAGTGGCCATTGCACACCTGTATTTTGGTGGCTTAGGACAAGCATTAACATCCTCACAAACATTCAGCACGGTGGTATTTTTTTGGCATAAAGCACGTGTTGTGGGAATGAGATAAAATGCTTTGAACAGAAGCATGCCCTGCATGCAGGGACTAGCTGAGCTCTGTGCAGCAGGGGTGGGCTCGTGTATAGCAAACAAATTCTTTGTTGGAAAACAGCATGGCAAGGTGGAAGGGAACTGCATCTCCTCACACATGTGCCCTGGACAGCAGTTAGTAGAAGGTGAGGGACAGGCCCTCCTGCCCAGCTGCCTGGGGCAACTTCCCAGTCCCAAACCACTCAGAGAAGTGCAGGGCAAGCACCTGCAGACCCAAGAAAACTCACATGTCAGCCCATCTTCACATGCTGCTACCCTTAGGGCCTATAGCCCAGCACTGTGTTCATCTTCCTCCAGCACAAGAAGGGACTCCGCTACCTTAGGGATGTTTTACCTTGCAAGCACAGCACTCCCCTGTTCTCCCTCTTGCTCCATCCTCAGCTGCACCATAAGAGCAGCAGGATTCTACCCCAACCTGTATGGGCTCAGCATCACAACTCAGTGCACCTGAGCTGGGAGGGGGTTTGGAGGAGCACGTAACTCGTTCCTGGCTGGGTCGGTTCTGGGTGCACACTGGGGCCAAACACAGCTGTGCTGAGTGGAGACAGTTGTTTCTGCAAGTGAAGTTTGCCTCTTGCTCATGACCAAGCAGACTCTGTTGTGTCTGCACAAGGAGCATTTCAGTGGTCACAGCATCTTCTGTCAGCATTCCGCTCTGGGTGTGATTTCCAGCTGCTGCCCAGCATCACGCAGTGCCTGTCCTGTCAGAGTGCTGTCCCCAGCCTCCCTGATCCATCTCCTTTGTGACCTTCTGCTAGGACTGCAAGTGTTTGTGAAGAATCGAGTCATGGTCAGGATAAACCCCATTCCGCACCACACTTACTAGACATAATTAATGTCTGACATCTTGCCTAATTAGCTGTAATTCTATTACACAGCATGAAGCACGGATTCCTTATCCCTCCGTGCCAGCTGGGAAACCCTCCCTAGAAGGTCCCATGCTGCATCCAGTAGTTGGTGTGATCTGGCTTGTGTGGACATTGTTGTGCAGGTGAACTTGGTCACATTTCAGCAGTGCTAGGGAGAAACAAGCGCTGAGCCTTGGGGTAAGAAGTTACTGCAGAACAGCACACAGTGTCCCCTGCGTGCACATGCAATAGCAGTTTGCAGGGCAGCTCTCTCTTGTGCAGCTTCACAAAGCATGTGCATCAGCACAGCCAGCACACGGGGAATCCTGCGCTGGCACAGCACCCCCGGAGCGGTTACAGTACAATAGGCAGCAATTGGTTTTATAACGAGTCATTATTTTAATATGCTGCTTTGCTGCCATGTTGGCATCTCACTGGGAGCATTCAGGAGGCAGAAGGTGGGTGGATCAGAGGAGCTGCGGGAAAGCAGGCGCCTGCCTGAGCGTGGTGTGAGAGCCACAGTGCTCAGCCCTCCACGTGCACACAGCATCCCTCAGGCACAGGGCAGCGGGCACCCAGGGCTCCTTGCTGCCCTCGCTGCATGCTGAGCTGCATGTCCACGTTTTCCATTTGCTCCTCGTGAGCTGTGCTAACGCTGGTCTCTCTTCTATTCCAGTACTCCCCACTGCTGAAGAAGCTCTACTGTCAGATTGCCAAGACATGTCCCATCCAGATCAAGGTGACCAGCCCACCGCCACCGGGCACCATCATCCGGGCCATGCCTGTCTACAAGAAGGCCGAGCACGTGACAGAAGTGGTGAAACGCTGCCCCAACCATGAGCTGGGGCGTGACTTTAACGATGGTGAGTGCTGTTGTCACCCCTACAGGGCACAGCCCCAGCTGTAAAACGTGGCTGGGAAGAGCTGGTGGGACAGGAGCTGCTGCCCTGTGCAGGATGAAGCTCCAGGTCCTAACCACGGGCACTTGACTTACAGGCCAGTCAGCCCCAGCCAGCCACCTCATCAGGGTGGAAGGCAACAACCTGTCCCAGTACGTGGACGACCCTGTGACAGGACGGCAGAGTGTGATGGTGCCCTACGAGCCCCCACAGGTACCCTGCTGCATTGGGGGTGGTGGGGAGCAGAACCAGCTCTTGTCCCAGTGTGGAGGAGTGAACCCGCTGGTGACATCTGCTTTGTTGGAGGAAGATTTGAGTCCTGGCTGGAGTCGGGTGGCACATCTGAGCCCTTGTGTGCCTGCTCTGAGCACCCCATTCCTGGGTGGTGGGGAACGGAAGGCCTGAGCCTCCCCCTCAGAGATCCCACAGCCTTGCAGCGTCCCATTCCCCCACCTAGGACCGTCCCCATCACTGCAGGGCCACATGTCACCATTCTTTCCCTTCTCAGTGCTCCTTCTGCTTGACCTGCAAAGGCACTCAAGGCACAGCCCTGCCCAAAGGGATGCCCTCACTCTTTGCTCACTGTCTGCTCCCCTCTCCTGGGCAGGTGGGGACCGAGTTCACCACTATCCTGTACAACTTCATGTGCAACAGCAGCTGTGTGGGAGGAATGAACAGGAGACCCATCCTCATTATCATCACGCTGGAGACGAGAGAGTAAGTGGCTGCTGGAGCCCCATTCTTGCCTTTGTGGAAAGGCTGCTTCCTGCTGGCTAGGAAGAGGGCAGGGGAGGTACAGCAGACCCACTGCAGTGCTGGCTTCTTCCCACACAGCTGAAGCCTTCCTCAGCCCCAGCAGCTCCTCCTCCCACAGGAGACTGCTCCTGCTCAGGCTGTTCGCAGGGGAGCTCCCCACACCCGGGGATCTGAGCCAGGCCATAACATGCTGGGCTGAGCCCAGGTGAACGTCCCAGGCAGAAACAAATTCACCAGTTCCTCTCTCCTCCCAGCGGCCAAGTCCTAGGAAGGCGATCATTTGAGGGACGGATCTGTGCCTGTCCTGGCAGGGACCGGAAAGCTGATGAAGACCATTACCGAGAGCAACAAGCCCTGAATGAGAACGCAGCTAAAAATGGCAACGCCAACAAACGCAGTGAGTCTGCTCTCCAGGAGAGGGAGGGTGCCTCAGAGCACTGCTTTGTCACAGTCTTCAGCTCCTAGCCTGCATTGTTCCTCGAAACCCTTCTGCCTCAGCACCTTTCCCATTGCAACCAAAATCACTGTGCTCCAGAAGTTGAGGCTTAAACCCACACCAGGGCATGATGCTTTGACCTTTCTCCTCTGAATCTCAGAAGTAGGATCTCCTCTCTTTTTCCCCCAGAGTGCAGTGATACTAGCATAGGGCCTTTCTGTCCAGATGTAATCATTATTACTGTTTTTGAAGGAACATCATCAAGGACATAATACAGTTAAGCAGCAAGCATTGTGCATGATGTGAGCTAAAATACTTCAGGAAGCCAAGGTGTTACCAGATGTATCCTGTTCTCCCAAGGACAGCAGGGCACGGGAGAATGGAAATGAGAGAAAAAATGAAATTTTCTTAAAAAACACACACACAGAATTCCTAGAGCCATAATTCCTAAGTGACAGCACACATTTGGGATTTGTCAAAGCTAATTCTCCTAGAGGTAGCTATTTCCCTCTTTTCAATAAAGGCTTGCACAGCACGCTGCTCCTGCGTGCCCAGAGGACACAGCTGTTCCCGCTGCATGATTTGACTTTCATCTTCTGCTAACATTTTTCCCCTTCTCCTTTCCAGCATTCAAACAGAGCCCTCAGGCCATCCCAGCACTGGGGCCAGGCGTTAAGAAACGGAGACACGGGGAGGAGGAGATGTATTATGTGCCTGTAAGTGTCAGTGAGCCACGCTGCTCAGCAGTGGCAAGGGAAACTCTTGGGGATGTGCTCTCAGGAAGGATGGGTTTGTGTGGCTGCGGGTAGAAAAAAAGGGCCGTGGTGAGAGCTGGACTTGTTCCATCCTCCAGGTTCGAGGCAGGGAGAACTTCGAGATCCTGATGAAGATAAAGGAGAGCCTGGAGCTGGTGGAGCTGGTCCCACAGCAGCTGGTTGACTCCTACCGGCAGCAACAGCAGCAGCTCCTGCAGAGGCAGTAAGTGCCATCCCAGTGTCCCTGAGTGCCCACTGCAGCTCTGCAAACTGATCAGCACTGCTGCAACTGCTATTTTTTACAGCAAGCATAAACTACAGCACTGGATATGAACCTTCCTAGGGGGCCTGCAGTGCAGTGAGTTCTCCATCTGCAGGGACTTTTCACAGACACATGTAGCTGTCGCCTGACATAAATGCAGCGCAGCCAATTCTGCACCAGTGCAATTTGTCTTGGGCTGCTCTCAGAGCAATCCGGCCTTCCTCAGTGCTACCTGAAACCTCAGCACAAAGATGCTGAGCAGGCAGACAGGAGGTCTGGGGTTGCCAGCTGGCTCCACATCCTCCTGCTGGATGCTCATCGCTTGCCTTCTCTTTCCTGAGCAGAAATCAGCTGCAGACACCTTCCTCCTACGGCCCTGTCCTCTCACCTATGAATAAAGTCCACGGAGGAGGAATCAACAAGCTGCCCTCTGTCAACCAGCTGGTCGGGCAGCCAGCACAGCACAGCTCTGGCTCAGCATCAAGCCTGGGGCCAATGGGTAAGGCTCCCACTGCAGCAGAGTGCAGAACCGTGGTCCCAGCTGGTGGGATCCCACCCCTCCCCAGCAGGGCCCCCAGTGAGGGACAGGGGTTGTTGTGTCTTGGTTCTGTCTGACTGATCTACCTGTCGTGTTGGCATGGCTGCTGCCTAGGACCTGGAATGCTGAACAGCCACCCCATGCAACCCAATGGGGAAATGAACGGGGGCCACTCGTCCCAGTCCATGGTCTCAGGATCACACTGCACCCCTCCTCCGCCCTACAACCCCGATCCCAGCCTAGTCAGGTAGGGAGGGCAGCAGATGCCCTTTTTGTGTTGTCCTCTGATGTTTCTTGCTGTTGTCCCTTACTCTAACCTTCAGATCTGTCTAGCAACTGGTCAACTGGCCACTGGTCCCAGCTGAGAAATCACTGCTCATGACATCATGTAGACCATTCTTCTCATCTTAAAAATCAAAGCCCAGCTACCTACCAGTTAGAAACACCTCTTGCCCTCATAGACCTCCTGGTAATCTGTCCTTGCTTAATTACAAATTAAGTCCTCCCAAACAAGAATCTTTTCCTGCATGCCAAACTGCACACAGCTTTGTGAACTTCCACCTTTCCCTTCCTTAGTAATGATGTCTGGAAGTTGGTCCACATGGTTCATTTCCACGAGGAATATGCCAGCGTGTCCACAGATGCTTTTTACTGCTTGTCTTTAAGTAGAACATAGACGTTTCAACAGACATCCCACCAAGATCAGAGCACCTGTACATTCAGTTACCAGAGCTGCATAGCAGCAGCCCAGAGCTATTCACAGAATAGCCTTGCAATTAGTCTGTAAGTTGCAGGGACTGACTTTGCTGTCCAAACTAAGGCATGGGCCCTTTTCCTCCTCAGGTAGCTCAGGCTCCCTCCAGTTAACAGTGTAGATAATTCAGCAGAAACCTCTGAAAGTCTGAAAAGGAAAAAAAAAAACCAAACAAGACAGTAATATTCAGAATGAAGATAGTTCCATTCTTCATTCTGACATTAATGGAAGTTAAGGTCACACTTAAGATGCGTGACAACAGCCAGAGCAAGTTCCCTCCTCTGCTCGTTTGCCCACATCCCATCTACATCACAAGTGTTTGGAAGTGTTGCCAAGTCTGGAGGCAGCAGGAGCTCACTGCTGTCTCCCTTCTGCCTTTTCAGTGAGCTGAAACACAGTGTTGGTTGACAGCACAGCTTATATTCATGAGAAGTTAATGCCACTTTATTTTCCAAACTTTTTCTGCAGTTTTTTAACAGGATTGGGGTGTCCAAACTGCATCGACTATTTCACCTCACAAGGGTTACAGAATATTTACCACCTGCAGAACCTATCCATAGAGGTAAATGCTTTGGGAAGATCTGTTCTTACCACTTGTTTCTATCAGCTGTTGATCTTAAAAGCAAGGACAAAACTGTTTTAAAAGAAAGGAAAAAAACTGTGCACCAACCTGTTACAGAATATATACTCCCCATGATTTATGTCTTCCATTTATGCATCATTTCTAGCCCTTCATATTTAACAGTGGTTCAGTTTTTGGTAGCAACCACAATAGCCTCTTCATTGGTTTCTCCAGACTGTCAGAAATGAGATCTAATGAGATCTGATGAACTAACAGAGAGAAATTAATAACTTGGCACATTGTTGAGCTCTTTTCGGATGTCCCCAAACCAGAACTCAAGTAGGTGTTTAACACAAAAAGGAAACCAGACAGGGTGCTCAGCAAACGAAACAGCACAAGTTAGGGAAGAGCTGGAATGAAAACAGGCGTACAGTAGGTTCAGAATTCCTGCCCTCATGCTCTGTGTCAGCTCTCTGCTGCCAGGGGAACAGGAGCTGCCAACTGCAGTTCTCAGTTAAAGCATAACCTCTTGCTGACAAAACCGAGGCTGCAAAACTGAGGGCAGCACCAAGCAGGGACTCCCCTCATCCATCAGGATAGGGAGTAGAAAAAGCTTAAGCCCTTGGAGCCATAGTTAGCCTTGTAAGTTCTAGGGTCAGTATTTTGGACAGAAAAAAAGCTGCTGCCCTGATTCTGTTGTCTTCCCCCCAGGTAGTTTGTAGTGATCTCCTACCTGGCAGCTACAGTAAGATAGGCAATGCAGCTGCTGAAGACACAATGATTTTTCATTGGTAGCTGGGGCCAGTTGCACAACCTTAGCCTGATTTTGGACCATTTTCTGAACTAACTGCATTATTACCTGCAAGCTGTCAAAAGAAATGTTTGGTATGGCCAGAACTTTGTATCAGGTTGCTGAGCTGTCTGTCCGAGTTGGTATTTGTAATTACTAATTGCACACTCGCTATCTTCTCTGGTTAACATTCATACGAGTCTCTGTGTTTGGCATTAACGTGGCTCTCTGGCAGCTCTCCACCACGAGGGGATTTGTTCTGGCGCAGCCCCCATTGCTGAGTTGATCCAGCTCTCAGTTAGCACTACAACCACAAAGCTGCTACTGCCCACACCGCCCACCCCCAACAGGGAGGGCCCCGAAAGCCCCAGTCAGCGGGGCTCAGGGAATGCGGCCCATTACCCCAGCCCACCCCTGGGGGCTGCCTGGAGCCCCCCGCTGCTCCTGCCCTGTGCAAAGCAGCCGGGCTGAGCTCCTCACCCTGTGAGCACAGCTGCTCCTCAGCCCACGTCCAGCGGGAGCTCTCCCATTCTCAGCAGTTTGATGTGATACAGTGAGCTTACATCCCTGTCCCCCAGTCCCCAAATAACAAGATGCGTTTTTGGCTGACTTTCAAAATGGTGTTTGAATGACTGGTCAAGCATGACTATGAGTAGCTGGTCTGTAACTGAGCAGCTGCCCCTCGTGGAAGCACCCCTGGGCTGTTGTGTGTTGTGTGGACCGAGGCCAGGACGTGCCACTCGCTCCTGTGCCCACGTCCCTCTGAGCCACGAGCTGGGGGCCAGGCTCCGTCCCGGTGTTCCCCTCACGGGGTGCCCCTCAGCAGCGCTGTTCTTCCAGGATCTCGGAGCACTGAAGATCCCGGAGCAGTACCGGATGATCATCTGGAGGGGCCTTCAAGAACTCAAGCAGAGCCACGACTACGGGGCCCAGCAGCTCATCCGCTCCAGCAGCAACGCCTCCACCATCTCCATTGGCAGCTCGGGGGAGCTGCAGCGGCAGCGCGTGATGGAGGCCGTGCACTTCCGCGTGCGCCACACCATCACCATCCCCAACCGCGGCGCGGCGGACGAGTGGGCAGACTTTGGCTTTGACCTCCCAGACTGCAAGTCCCGCAAACAGTCCATCAAAGAAGAGTTCACGGAGGGAGAGATCAACTGAGGTTCTCCAGGGCACGACGGTAGGAAACCGGACACAAAGGGAGTCCGAGGGACGGGCTGGGGAAACCAAACCCTGCGTGAAACATGGGAGAATATTTCAGCCTTGAGCAGCTGGAGAAGCATAATTTTGCTGGACTGTCGGCTGCGTGAGGAAATACGGCCCCCATCCGTCTGCCAGGAACTTCCCAGAGAGGAAATCCCAGTGGTTTGTCAGAGGGTCGATGGAAGGACGGGGCGGTGAGAGCTCCTGGAATGCAGTGCAGATGCTGACTGCACGCGGCAGAGGAGTCACCTGGTTCTTCCTTCTGTTTCGTATTGTGCTGGACGAGCCTGGCATCAAACAGATGCAGCATACAGATAGCACATTTTCTGTTAGTGAGACCTACCTTCTTACCTCTGTTCTGTGTTCTCAGTGGTGGTGAAAACCAAAAAACGATTCAGCCCTTATCTGCTCCATTCCTGTAGGAGTATCTGCCATTGACTGACACAAAGCAACTCTGCTTTCCCAATGGACTGCCAGAAGATGTGTCCCTTTCAGTTCCTTGTAGAGCAGAAGCTGATCTCTTCGTCAGTTCCAGATGTGTTCACGTACTTAAATGTTTGTGTTTATCAGCAATGCGATGTACATACAGTATACTCATTGTGTTGCAAGGAGAAAAAAAGATTTATTTTCATGTAAGCTATAAAAATTGATACTGCTGAGACAATAGCGTCAAGCAATTACTTTTATGTTCTAGCATGCAGACGTGCAGAAAGTCGTGTTTCAAAACTTATCTATTCAAAATCCAGATGTTTTTCCCTCCTGTGAATTATGTCACACGAATGCAGAGGGGGAAACGTGTGAAGGCTCCCGCGGAGTTGGAGCTCTGTGCGATTCCTCCCTGCACCACAGGTGAGGATTGGAGGCGGATAACAGTGAGGTGGGGATGAGTTTGATCCCATCTTGGAGAGAGGAGGTGGCCTCACGTGAGGTCCTTCCACCTTGGTTTGCTGCTTATGGCCATTTTTTGCAGGCCTGATTTATCTGTTGGTTCAGGCTGTCAAGCAGCTCAGCAGAAAGCCACGCTGCCAGCAAACGCATTCCCAGCTCCACCTCCTTCTGGTGAGCAGATACATCCAGAGGTGCTCTAAAGCTTTTGAAACATGTTTTCAACAGTATTAACTGACACAGTCCAACCATGTTACCAGTAGTACTTTTTGGAACGTTATCTTTGGAAAATGTGTTATTTTTATAGCTGTGGTTTCTTTTTTTTCTTTTTTTTTTTTTTTTTTTTTTGTAACACAATAAAAGCACGTCTGAATTACAACACCTGGGAACTCAAGTCTTGCTTATGCTGTACAGAAAAATGTGCACGTAACATTACTGAGAAATCTTACACCTCAAAGGGCCTGGAGTTGTTCTGCTTCATCAGCAAAGCTCCCGAGACAACAGCGCTGCCCAGAACAGGAGCCCCTCACAGCCAAAACTGTTATTTTAATACAGTTTAAAGAAAGATTTCCAAGGTCTTGAACACCAGCATACGAGGAGCAGACAGCAGTCAAAGCTCTGCGTCTGCAACGAGAATAAAAGGCTCAGAACCTGCTTAGGAGCAGGCCCGCCTGGAGCTGAAGGCACTCTGTTTTTCTGCAGCGCGCACTCAGGTTCATGTGCTCAGGCTCGGCCTTGCGGCTGGGAGCTGCACACACAGCACTCGAGCGGAGAAGGCAGAAATCAGGGCGGTGTTTTGTCTCATTACACAAACGCGGCCGCTTTCCCCCTGCGGGCCGTGGCGGCGCTTCCCGGAAGTGACCTCCCGGTCCCGGAAGTGATCGCCGCAACTTCCGGGAGCGGCCCGCCGTTGCCTAGTAATTCAACGCCGCCGCTAGGCGCGGCCCCGATGGGCTCCCGCGGGCAGCCCGGGCTCTGCCGCCATCCCCGGGCGCCTTGCGAGGCTCAGGGGCCGCGGTCGTTCTCCAGTTTGCTGCTGGGCTCGGAGCCGCTGGGCTTAGCGCCCGAACCGCGGCACGATGAGCTGCGCATCCCCGCCCCGCTGCGCGCCCGCTGTCGCGATACCTGCGACAGGGCGACGTCGCCGGGTCCGCCGGGTGAGGCGGGAGGGCCGGAGGGGGGGGGGGGCTGACCGCGAACCACATCACTGCCCGCTTCTCTGCCCGGCAGAAGACCTCCTGTCCGGCGACCGGCCTGCCGGGGAGCAAGACGGGAAGGAAGGGCCGCCGGGGCAGCAGCAACCCGCGGGGGATCGGTGCGAAAGGCATTCAGATAACGTCCCGTGGTACATCCGTACCATTAATGAAAAGGTGAGGAAAGCCGGCCGTACCGCCTGCCTCAGCCGGCAGAACGCCTCAGCAGAGCGCCGCCGTCGTTGCTCGTGATACCATCTGCTGGCCGATCCAAACAGTGCCGCTCCGTTTGGGGCACACAGAAGCTTTCAGGGCCAAGGAGCGCGTTGGAGCAGGGACTGCAGAAGCGGCCCAATAGCACGCACTGCGTGCATAAGGGACAGGCACTGACACACAGTAGTTCATCCGCTCCGTGGTTCCTCATCCCTCCCTTTCATCCCCTCTACCACGTTCACGTTTCAGTGCGTGACGGTACTTCTTTATTCCCTAGGAAGAATGTCTCACAACACTGGTAGCTGAGATCGATCGTCTCGCAAAGTACCGGGCAGAGTGTGCACAGAAGGACGTGGTGATTGCTAATCTCCTGAGGGAAGTGGGAAGTCTGAAGAAACAGCTGAAGTTGCTCAAGGACAGTGCTGACACAGAGGAGGTAACAATTTTAGTTCCATACACTGAAGCTGTGCAGTGCCAAGCTGTCATTTACAGTAAATGCAGACCCCAGTTCTGAACGCTCTCCACATAAGGCTTTAGCAGAGCTTAAGTCCTTATCTCTGTCTTTATAGCACACAGAAACAAAACAAGGGATCTCAACTGAAGTTCTCAAGGAAGCGAGCGCCCCGGGAGCCATTCCAGAGCAGGCAGAAGCAGAGAAGCAGGCCCTGATGGCTCAGCTCACTGCGTTGCAGAAAGCCCACAAAGAGCTCCGTGCAGAACTACGAAAAGCAGAAGATGACTACAACATGGCCACAGGTACCAGGGGAGAAGGCTTCCCCACAGCAGACAATTGTACCAGAGAGCAAGTTCATCTTCTTGAGGCAGTTTATTTTACCTAGAAAAAGAGGCTGGGTTACGTCCACACAAGGGCAAAAACCTCTCCTTACAGAGTGAGTCAGAAACACCACGTGTTTTGAAACCACTTTCCCTCTTGCCTTAGAAGGGCATAAGAAAATCTTGCAGCAAGGCCTGACTCTTACTCTGGAGCACTCCATGGTGTTCCACCACTCTGGCAACCCCGTGCTTGAGTTACTGGCTCTATTAGTCCTCAGAACAGCATCTACCTCACCGTGCATTTACTTAATACACAGCACAGCACTGTGAAATGCATTATTAACCAGTGTCATCGTGCTGTACATTAACCCGCAGCCCACACAGCTCTGCTTCTCCTTACCTGAAAAAAAAAACTCATGAGGTCTTTTGCATGGGTTCAGTTTGCTTACATGAGCACTCCAACCTTACAGGTGCCATGTGCTCCTTGCAAAGACAACTGGAGATCCAAGAATCCCAGCTTCGGAGAACCGAATCTGAAAATGAAAGGCTCCAAAAGGAGATCAGAGGGCGGGAGAATCAGCTACAAGCCATGTCTGCCAAGGTGCTGCCATGAGCTGCCGTCACTGCAGAGAGAGCTGGAAGCGGGGAATTGAGCCTTCCTGAATCCATTCTCTTGCTAATGAGACAGGGGGTCCATGTCTGAACTGCAAAACTGATGTGTAAAATATTTTCCCTTAAGTTTGGCAGTCTGAGAGAAGAACGGAAACATGAAGAAATAATGGCAGCAATGGAGAAGGAGAACTGCAGCCTTCGGCAGGTGAATTTGGTTCAAGCCCACGTGCCTTTATGGAAAACTCTACCATCAGCCACTTTATTGAGCTTCTTTTAGGCATGGGGGAGCAAATTTACCCCACTAGAAATGTATCAGTGAAGTTATTATGAAAACCTGACTTCTTGAGTTTATTTTACCACTCAATTGCTTTTTTTTATAATAGCAAGCTTGCTGCTTTTAACCACTCAGGTACTCAATGCAGTGCTGGAGAAAACTTTAACTAACAACAGCTACCAGAACAGACAAATTTAAGTCTGTAGACTGCTCAAGAAATACAAGAACCATTTGAATCAGATACTGGGAAGATGTGGCCAAGTCTGCTCACTCTCTTCCTCACTGTAATGGCTTGTTCTATGTATCTCCTCAGGTTGTTACAGAGCAAGAATCCAAACTGGGTGAGCAGATGGAGCTGATCAGTGGTTTGCAGGGCACAACGTGGCAGCTGCAGGCGGAGGCTCTGACCAACCGGTTCCACATCCAGAAGCAGCAACGTGCCCAGGAGAAGATGCAGAGCCAAGCTGAAATGCTGCAGCAGGCAGAGCTACAAACCAGAGTGGCACTTGAGCGCGTCACCAGCAAGGTAATGTAGGCTCCTTCACTTCAGGCTTCCACCTCTCTGCTGAGAGATGCTCCAACCTAGTCAAGCCCGTATGAATGCCAAAGAATCACACACAAAGGCTTAACACATCCACCTCTTTCCTCTTTCATCAAAAGTTTGAAAGATTTCGAAGCAAAATAATTCAGGCTACATTCAGTGCAGCAGGCATCAAAGCTCCCCAGGCAGAACTCACTGACGAGGAGCTGCTGGAGGCAATGCAGGTATGCAGCCCTCTGGAACTGAAAGCCTGTGGGAACTGCTGAGAAAGCACTGTCCTGTCCTGCTGTCATCTGATGCTTTTCCATCCCTCTGCACATCTCTGCCTTTCAGAAAATAATTAACGAGCGCACTGAGTTCCATCAGATGCTGAAACAAAAAGGCATCAAGGTTCCATCCCTCACCAGCATCGACACGTTCACCTCATCGCCAGGCATTTCAAAGGGAAGGAGGTGAAGGGCAGCATCTCCTGCACAACGGCCTGAGCAGTAGCAGGTAGCAGGTACAGGTAGCAGTAGCAGGCTCCCACCACATCACCCCTCCCCACCTCCCATTCCTTTGTTTTCAGGGGGTGACTCAGTAGCAAATTAAACTCACTCAAATAAAGTTCTGCAGTAATTCAGTTGTTTTCTTGTTGCTGCTCTGCACAATGACTCAATTTCACAGGGAATCAGGTCTGCTCAGACACAAGGATCCAGAAAAAGTTAAGTTTCCACTTGGCCAAGCTGGCACAGTTACACGACTGGGAAATCCAGCAATGCCAGAAGAAGTGACAGTGACATACAACTGCAAGAACCATTTTATTTTTGCATTCAGTACGCAGGCACGTGGCTGTATTTGGTGTGGGATCTACAGGGATCACACAGAACTCTGTGACTCAGTCCATCCAGCTTATGGATGGAGAGGTTTGCATTCAGACAACAGCCAGGCTGTTGTCACCCAGACTGCAAAAAGCTGAACCACTCCAACCGTCTGCATTTCGGACGGCGTCCCCAGCACTCACCAAAGTGGAGTGGAGGACTGGGGTCACCTCAGACAGAAGGTTCACATTCTGGGAAGCTGGGGGGCAGTGCTGACACAGCAGCAGCCCTGTGACTGGGGCTCCATTTCACAATAAGAACAAATCCAGGGCTTGACCAGCAGTTAACTCAGTGGCACACAATAAATTCACAGCTGGGGCTTCCACAAGGATGGGATGTGGCTGTAAAATGCACTGGGAAATGCAAACCCCTGCAGTCAGTTCTACTGCCTCCATTTAAAAATAAAGCTGTGCTAAACACGGGAACTCAGCAAGAAAAAAAAACATTACTGCAAAACTCACTGCTCAGATTCTGGCAGCATTAAGGTTTAAAATGTTTGAAATACACCGAATTTTCAGTTTTATGGTTACCCCAGACATGAAACTGTGCAAAATGAGATGCTGTGAGCACTTCTGCACCCTGCCTTCAGCACTGGCACACAGCAGCACCAGTGCTGTCACCTACTGGATTTCCCAGTTCAGCCTCTAAGATGATGATCCAGCTGAAGCACCAGGAAGGAGGAGTAACCTTGCAGAGCAATACGACTGCATTTGTTTTATAAACTGAAACATCATCACGATTCACTTCCAAGCTGGTGGATTCTGACTTTGAACACCTTCCCTGCTTTTAAGTTTGCACTGGCAGATGCTGTTGCCTCCAGCCACAGAGTGCTGCTGCCTTTCTCCTAAGGCTGAGAGAGAATGCAATCCTCCTTGCCAGGACTGGCTCAAGCTTTCATGTCCTACGCAGGCAGGCAGGGCGCACTGCAGCTCCTCTTTCACACACGTCACTGCGTTCTTGGATATGGAAAGAAGAAAAACGGGGCAGAGTAATTTGCTGATCTTTGATAGCGGTCAGCGAATCACTGTGAGCAGGGAGGGCGCTGCAGCCAGGTCAGTTTTTGAAGGATAAAGTACTTTCAGGTTTCCATCCATGTCCACCACTCGAACCTGCTCCACCACCAGCGGCTGCTGCGCGCTCTGGTTGGGCTTCACATTCTCCGCTCCACACAGAGCATCTGGTTCATCATCCGAGCCCGAGCCTTCCTCCTTATTTTCCATAGTGAACCTGTTCAGTTCTGCTATTTTCTGTTAAATACAGCAAAACACAGAAAGCTCATAATGCAAAAACCTTGTGAGGTAGGTTACAAGCAGGAGAGGGAGGAAAAGGGAAAACCAATTCCTTCCCCACAAAAGCCACAGCTTCTGCATTCTTCTCCCATACATGTGAGCCATGGAGCGTTTTGCTGAGGAGCACAGAGGGCTGTTACTGAATTACTCACCAGAATGAGAGCATCCATGACATCTTTGCATATCTGCAAACTCGTATCGCTTGTCACTTCCAGGAACAGATCACGGGTGGTTTTTCTGATCTGCAGGAATGTCACAGGTAAAGCAAGCCATGAATTCCTGCATCCCCACCCACAGTGGCAACACTTCAATGCAAAAATGCAACGAAAGGCTTTCATCGACTCAACCAGAGGCAAAGAGCTTTGCCAATCCATAAAGCCGCCTCAGCGAGGGCAGCCTGGTGCCCTTGGAGCAGCTTGCTAGAGCTGGACAAGTTACAGAGGGAGAAATGGAGCTCTGAGATTCCTCTGAATCAGTGTGGTAGAGGGGAGCGAGGCTTTGGAGATGTGTGGTTTGGAGCACAGTGACAAGCATCACAGAATGCATGCAGTTCAGAATCTGGAGTTGAACACATGAATTCTGATGAACAAACTCCCATGGCACACAGTACCTTTGTTTTCTCACTGTTGGTTATTGGTGGGAAGGAAATCACAGCACCTTCAGCATCCACGAGACACGGGTAGTTATCTTTGCCATCCAACAACTGCAGATACCTACCAGGAAAAGCAGAAAAGAAACAAAACACCGCAAAGTAACTGAAACAGCAGCTGGACACAACGGCAGAAAACAGCGACAGAAAGGAATCAGCATGCTCCTGATCTGCCACAAAGCAAAAACAGACGTCAGAGCACTAAAACCCAGCTAAATGATGCCGTGGTGCTGCAGTAACAACTACAAGAAGCGCTGGCCAGGAACATCAAATAACTCACATCTCCATTTCCACACTGCCAAAGCACACAGACAGGCTGCTGCTGCTGTCCCAGATCCCCGTGCTTCAACAGGAGCATCACAGTCCACTGTCTGATTCTTCCAGACGAGTTATTTACGTTATTTGCCCCCTCACTCACTGTGGCAACGCACAGCTCCCCCATTACGACTTGGCCAGCTCCTCCAGCTGCCTGATGGATACGGCTGTGGTCTCTACACGAGCAGCAAACAGAACACAGCTCATCTGTTCTACAGACTTACAGCTCCTCTCTGCTTAGTTTACTGAATTGGCGTGACGCTTCATCCCTCCATGGCTCCCTTCTACTTTATATACACAAATTACTCTCACAGGCGACAAACGTGACAAGAATTTACTCTGGATGTGTGGAGAAAGAATGGAAGTCACTCCTCAACCCCCCTTTGCCACAGGTTTACCCCTCACGTTCCCTTCAGAGCTGTTTTTCTACACAAGAACAAGCTGACAAAACGCACACGCTGATCAACAACACAACACTGACTTGTGCAACCCAGAAACATTCTGCCGCTTCTTCTGCTTCCTCTGCTCCTCCGCTTCCATCTGCAGCTGACGGAGGAGATCCTTGGCTCTGATCTCCTTTCGGCCCAGAGGAGTTATCTGCACCAAATGAGAAACAGCCATTCAGCTCTGACCTTTCCCTCCTTCACGGCTGCAGACAACAAAGGGAAATTAAGGAGGAGAGGCACGCGGTTGGCACTGCTGTACCTTCAGCTCAGCAGGAGGCTGCACGCTGTACGTCAGCGGCCCTTTGACCAGCTGCAGGTCGTGGGTGGCGATCGTGGCCACCGTCCTCTTTTCACATATATCTTCATGCAGTTTGGTCTAAAACACAAAGAGCATCGTCACAACACAGCCAGGTATCAGCACGACGTGCCGCCGCCGGGGCTCAGCGCTCCGCTCTACTTAGTGCTACAAATGCTTGAGGAAGCACCATTTCAACGGGTCTCAATACATCTCGCACCCACTTACAGAATCCCCAAGGTTGGAAAACACCTTCAAGATCATCCAGTCCAACCTGTGGCCAATAGACCTCACTAAACCACGTCCCTCCAGACAACATCTAAGTGTTCCTTCGGCACCAACAGGTAGGCTCCTCCACCACCTCCCTGCGCAGCCCATTCCAGAGCCCAGCCACTCCTTCACAGCCACGGCCTGGGACAGCTCTGTTTGCCCCTCAGCATCACACACAGCTCTGCTCTTCACCTCCAAGCGGAGGGTAATTTCACCCCACACACAACAGAAGCACGAGGACAGGGGGCTGCATCTGAGCTGGGAGATGAGCAGCGTGGGGCGAGGAAAAGCCTCCAGCACTGCGGGATGGGGACACGGCAGCCACGGGGAGCCTCGAGCCTCCCAGCAGCGCTGCCCACCGCCGTACCTGGGCGCTCAGGAACCTCCGCACGGCGTTCCCCGGCCGCAGCTGCACCCCTCTGAGCACACAGCACACGATGTAGGGCCGCACGTCCCTGACGCCCGGGCTCGCCCTGACCACCATCGGCGCCGGGTTGTCGCCCACATGCAGGACCTTCAGCAGCAGCTTCCCGACCTCCTCCGCCTCATCGCGCTCCCCGTCCCCGCCGTCTTTTTTCTGCTGTTTCTCCCGTTTTCTCCTCCGGGTCTCCTCGCGGCCGCCCTCGGCGCGGCCCTTGGATCGCAGGTATTCCAGCACGGCCCGCGTCTGGCAGCCGTTCACCATCTTCTCGAGGCGGCGGTCCCGCAGCGGGTTTCCGCGCAGGTTGGCGTCCTTCAGGCGGGGACAATCGGCCAAGGCGGCGGGCAGCGCGCTCAGCCGGTTGTTGGCCACGTCCAGACTCTGCGGGAGCAGAGCGCGGGGTCACGGCGGCGCGGGGTCGCGGAGGCGCGGGGTCGGGGCTGCGGTCGCTCACCTTCAGCGCGGGCAGCGCGGCGATGTCCGGGCTCAGCTCCTCCACTTCGTTGTCGGCCGCCTCCAGCCGGCCGAGCAGCGGGAACGGCGCGGCGTCGGCGGACGGCAGCAGCGCCCCGGGCAGCGCGCGGAGCCGGTTCCCGGACAGCAGCAGCTCCCGCAGCTGCGGCGCGGCCCTCGCCAGCCCCGGGCCGAGCTCCCGCAGGCGGTTCCCGCTCAGGTTGAGGCTGCGCAGCTGCGGGAAGGCCGCGGCCTCCCCCCCCTCCTCCGACGGCCCCGCGCCGCCCAGCTCGGCGGGCAGCGCCTCCAGCCCGTTCCCGGACAGGTCGAGCAGGCGGAGGGCCGGCAGCGGGCCGCCCAGCCCCGCGCCCAGCCCGGCGGGGCCCAGCGCGTTGCCGCTCAGCACCAGCGTGTGCAGGGCGGGCAGCGCGGCCGCCAGCCCCGGGCCGAGCTCCTTCAGCGCCGCGCAGCCGCTCAGCTCCAGCGACTGCAGCAGCGGCAGCGCCAGCAGCTGGGCCGGCAGCCGCCCGCCGCCCGCCGCCACCCGCTCGGCCACCGCCGCTCCCTGCAGCGCCAGCTCCCTCCGCCGCTCCCGTGCCGCCGCTTCCAGCTCCGGCCACGCCGCCGCCATTGCGCCGCGCCCCGCTCCTCCTCCGCGCCCCGCTCCTCCCCTATGGCAGCGAGCGGCCGGGCCTCGGGTGGAGGCAAAACGCTGTTCTTAGCTCAAGTCTTTTATTGGTTACTAAAAGCGTATCTCAAAAGGTTCGGTCAGGTTATAAAATAGAAGCGCAGATCCTGCTGCCCGCATGCAGCTCATTAACTGCCTTAATTACGTTCTGCCCGTGTTTAGGAGCCGTGCTCGAGGAGCGATGCCGAGCTGCCTTCAGCAACTGCGTGCGCCGCATCGGCCAATGCAGAGCGCGCAAACGGCTCTTTTTTCCTCTGCACGACGCCGAGCTCGCAGTTCACCTCCGGCAGGAGCCGCGCTGTGCTGCAGCCGCAGGCCGTGGCTCGGCCCCGCTCAGCTCTCAGCACAACCAGCTGCTGCTCGGCTTGCACGAGGAGCGAGGCTCTAACACAGCAACCTGCAGCTCCCCAGTGGAAGGAAGCGTACATTACATGAAATCTACAACCCTTATGAATATGTATATCTGCTATTGATAATTTGGGAGAGTTACAATTCATATAAAGACTTTCAAAACGCGACGGTGCTGCTCTACCTGTGAAATCCACACGCTCGTAGGCAGGCTGCACAAAGCTGTGTTGCAAAATCAGTGCCGTGTACAAAGCAGCACCGCGCCTTCGCTCCCTGCATAAATCACAGCCACGCGTGGTTTGTGGCCACTGCAATTCCCTCAGCTCTGGCTGCTCGTGTGCCCTGACAAAGCAGCTGAGTATTAATGCTGTTAACGCTCTAGGATTTGCAAAAGGGAAAAGCAAAAGCCCTCACAGCTTTCTTCAGCTGCACTGCATCCCCTCTCTGTTTTCATTACACAAACAGGGAAGGAAGAATTCTGCCTTATGCAGTTGGTATTTTACCAATTGAAGGGTTCAGTTCAGCTGAGCGGGGCCATGCGGCTCTTTAGTTACACATTCTGTGCATTCTGATTCCCACACGCACACACATTTTTCATTCCACCTTACACCAAATGCCCGCTGACTCCATCGCTCACCTCCACCACCGCGGAGCCCCTGAGCAGCCGCAGGGCTGTGCTCAGCAGGGCAGGAAGCACAGCATCCCTCCAGTGAATCCTGTGCCCTGGGCTGTTTCTGGGACGAGGAAGCAGCCACAACCTTCCTTGTGCACAGCGGGGAGCGAGGGGGCAATGGAGGATTTGCTCCTTTCTAATGAGAAAACCACAGTGCTGCTGTGGAAGCCGTGGAGCAGTGCCCTCACCGCTCTGCTCCAGGCCTGCACAGCCTCAGCCATCACATGGAAAAGATCTGAGTTGCTCGGGAGTTTTAAATGGCCATTAATAATGATACACCCAATTATTAAATACAAAATGCGAAGCACAGCCCTTGTCCTGTCACTGCTTTGAGAATGTTTTGCCTGGGCTTTTATTCGGGCCTCCTCTCGGCGTTGGGATCTTGCTTCCTATGGAGGGAGGTCGAACTTTGGTTCTTGAAGGACTTGGTTTCTTCAAATAGTGGCCTCCTGTTTTGCCTGTGAAGAGATGCCACAGGTCACTGCTTGCTCGTCTGAGCCGAGCTGAACTGCATTCACTGACAGCAGCTGAAAGACAGCATGTGAGGGCTCTGCCCAGGAGCTTGGCACAGCCCTGAAAAGCAGCTGTGAGCAAAGCAAAACTCAGACACAGCAGTTTAACTCTGGCAACAATCTGAGCACGGAGGGGATGAAACAGCACTGAAAAAAAAAAGCTTGAAGGGGAAGAAAAAGCAGTGGAGGAGAACAGGTTTGGTGCTGCAAGCAGTGGAAATAGCTTGTTTGCTTAACTTCTGCATTCACAAAGCAAGGGGATTCTACATGTGCCAAATAAGCAAAGACAACTTTAAGAAGGCTGAGATGAGCATCACTTTCTCTCTGCACAGCCCTAAGCTCTGCCCAGCTCCTGCTTCCACTGGGAAAGGAAAAGCAGCACCCAGCACACAGCACTCGATTCCTTTTGCACTTAGGATGAGACCAGCGTCCTCTGTTGGACATCACAGCCAAAACAGGCTCTCAATGCACTGCGTTGGTGGTCAGGAGCTTTCCAGACTGTCACTGCTTGCTATCACTGCTGATTGTTCTATTCATGACCATGCTGTTAAGTAGAAGCAAGGCTGAAACGATCCAATTATCAGACGTGTCAGTTTCCCTGGCAACTGACCTTGAAATTACTGTTACTGAAGGCACTGTTACCAAACATCACAACCCAAATGCAAAAAGCGTGTTGAAAATGTAAGCAGCCACCTTGCTCTCAAGGCTGAAATGCTTTCCTTAAGCAGTGGCAACACAGCAAAAAAGAACAATCATTACAAAGAAGTCTTACCAGGCTGCATTGGAATAGTTTTATTTATGGTGGAAAACCTTCGTAGATTCATTGCACAGCCATCCGTGCCCATGAGGTGTGACTTCCAGGCCTAACCAGTTACAAAGAAGTGATATTAAGAAAGCAGCAAGGTTAGCCACCCTTCTGCCTACTCAGAATCTTAAACACAGGAGAAGGGGACGCAGGGATAGCTGAGGCATTCAGTGCCACTGAAGAATGTGGACTGCCAGCACTTGGAAGCACGACAGCACCTTCAAAGCAGAGGGCAGAGAAGAGGAATGTGGGCACAAGTAACAAAGAAATACACGTCCCCCAATTTCAAGTCCCCTGAGAATGAGAGCCATTCCGTAACCCTGGTGAGTTCTGAAATCTCTGCATGTAAAGCAGTGCTCTAGGAGGGCAAAAACTCCATCCTCACGATGGAACAAAATCAGACCAACCTGGGAAGCAGCCTTACCTCCTCTCCAGGGGAAAAGTTGTCATGGCACAGTGGGCAATGGTTTGCCACATTTTCTGGTTTGGCAGCTGAAAGGATAAAACAAGTACAGCACAGACAAGTGAGTCTGAACATACAAGGAGGATCTGCATAGCAAACAACTCACAGAAAGCTGCCCTAGGATTAAAGCAGCCCCAGCCTATCATCACTCACTGCTCTGAAAGAAGTCTGATCCTTTATGATCATTTACACCCCATGGGTAGTAAACCATCCCTGGCCTCACAGTGCAGGGATGTGACACAAGCTGCCTTTTCTTTTCTCGCTCGTTTTCCCCACATGCATTCATGGAAGCAAAGCATTTCAAGCACTGGGAAAGGCAGGGATTTTTGTCAGACGTTCTCTCCTGACGACAGACTGAGGTTCAGTATTGCTGTGCTGTACTGAACAGCAGTGGTCTGACTTGACAAAAACGTGCAGTGCTTGGATGCTGCGCTGACCTGACTTCTCAAGTTCAGCCTTCTGCTGACAACTACTCACCGTTGCAGGTCCTGCTCTTAACGTGTTTGGGCAACTCATCCTTTGGAAAGGCTTCACTGCACCGCTGGCATTTCCCAAAGCTGTCCTTCTTATCACACTCAGTCAACAAATGCTCCGTCAGGCTTGCTATTTCTACCACCTGCAGCACAACAGAGGTACCCAAGATTTGTACTGAGTAAACAAGAACAGCATTAAAACAAAGCTTCCCCTGTGATTTTTGGAAGCTAAGGATCTCTTCTCAAAGGAAATGGAAAAAAGAAATGGAATTGGAGTGCAGTTGATGATACATTTTGTACAACTGCTTTTTTCTAAAAATGCCACCCCAATCACTCAGTGCTGAGCATTCCTCTGCTGCAGCATTAAATATCTTGTCACAGTAACAGAATAAAAACTGCTACTGACTTGTGGTGCCTGACCTGCTTGCAGTGCTCACATCTGGTTAACATAGGGCAGCGTTTCCAGTAATGCAGATCCAGTCCTTCCTCTGTGAAGGATTCGTTCCTTTCACCACAAAAAATGCACAGGCTGGGGAAAAAGACAGCAAAGCACAAAGCAATCAATGGAACAGGCAAACACCAGAGCATCAGTAACACATACATGGGAACAGATGTCCCCACTGTTAGAAACCTTCTGAAACACAGCCCTTATTTTCCCTGCATAGTCCTGACCTGTGCTTATTTTTTTATCCCACCAACAGCTACTAAGAAAACAAATTCAGAGCAGTGCCAGCCTAGTAGTTACACCTCAACATCCAGGATTGCTCTCAATCTGTCAGCAAGGTTTTCTTTTCCACTGTTTAAGTTATGAGCTTTGATCTACTGGAGAAACACTGCTATAGCTGTTAGCAGGTTGTACAAAGTACTTAAGGTGATTAGAAGCTATTAATCCAGCTTACTTATCCAGGTAATTTGCAACAGAGGAATGATCATCTGGAATCTCTGCTGCTGCAGGCTGTGGGCTTTTGTATCCTGTAAAAAAGAAAATGGAAATATTCCTTCTGCTGACAACAAAAGCAACAGATCTAATGCAAGATCAATACAACCTGACACACTGAGCACCCACAGTGTTTCCAGGGCATCTCAGCTCTTAGTACTACCTGAAATTACCTACCTTGATCTTTTGTCTTCTGGAAATCAGACTCTTTTTCCTATGGAACAAAGAATTTTTTAAGTCAGAAATGTCTTTTGTGACTGTGATACTAATGGGGGAGAAGAAGAACTGATTTTGATTTCTCTCTGCAATTAAAGGCTTAGAAGCAGAGCCAACACTTTACAGCACCATCAGCTTCTAAAATGGGAAGGGTTCCAATTCCTTTTTCTGTTACAAAAAACAACACCCCAGGTGTGAAACTCAGGGTGAAAATCAGAGAGAGGAGGCTCTCCCTCCCTCTTCCACACCCCCATCCCTCTTACAACTGACATTACTTGTCCCATGCTGAAATAGGAGGCACTTAAGGAAAAGGTTTAAAAATGTTATATTTAGAGCAAAACCAAAACACCCCAACCTTTCCAGCTTGAACTTCTGCTTGTATCTCCTTTAGAGCTGCCAGCTGATCTTGAAGAACTTTTATTTCTGCCTTCTTCTGTCTCTCTGCTTCTTCTGTTGCTGCCTTTTTTTGTGCCTGTGAAGAAAACACTCTTCAATTATGAACGTTTTTGAACCATCTGCATACAGGAGAATCTGCAGAACACAAAATACCAGCAATCTTCTTACTTACCCTCATTTCAGCATCAGAAAGTTTACCATCTATTTTAGTAAATCCATCAAAGAGTGTTTTATAGAGAACAGTCTTGCGAACGCTTGCATCATCTGGAGGGAGATATTCCAGAATGGCAGCTTTGTGCTTCCTGTACAGATGGAAGATAATCCTCAGCGCTACGTCACGAACTTCATAAACTCTGTGCTCCAAAGCTCCCGTTGCAAACTGAAAAGAGAACAGAAATAAACACGAATCCCACAGCAACAGAAAGCAGCTCCAAGTGCTGCGACTCCCACCTTCATGGCATTGCTGACGGTGAAGCCTGAGTTTTCAGTTCCCATCTCTTGCAGGAGGCACTCAACTAATTCCACTCGACTCATGGCCAGGTGTGTCGGGGAATTCGGTTTTAGGGGTTGAACCAAATGAAGTGGAACAATCTGAAGAGGTTTCACTTCGCTCCACAGAGCCATTTCCTGCAAACACAGTGTGCTGTAGGAGTGCTACACGAGGGCAACGAGTGCCTTTGCCAAGCAGAGTTAATCTACCTGGCTTAAAATGAGTGCAGTACAATGAAGCAAGAACTTTGCTGAAATGTAGCTGGTTGTTTCTATCTCAGCAGGGATCAGTTAATTCTAGCTGGCACCTTCCCTAGGGAACTGCTGCCCTGGGCAGTGCAGCACCTCGTGCTGGGGACAGAAAAGCAGTTTCCTTCTCTTGAGGCCAGAGCTCCTCTACAATGTGTGACCACTTCCTCATGGCGCTGAAACATTCAGTTACAAATCTCTTGTGAATAAGTCAAGCAGCAGTGATAAAGCAGTCAGTCACTCCTGGGGGCTCTGGTGGCACAACAGAGCATTGCACACCTTGAAGTTTCAGTTACATGCTCCAGTGAAAGGAACTCATTTTCCTTCTCTGTATGGATGCAATCACAGATAAAGAACCCAGAGCCAGAGACCCACCTACCCTCCTCCTGGGGCTGGATTAACACACTTTCACACAGAATTACTCTCCTGAAGTCTACTGGAAAACAGCACAGCAATCCCCCAGCAGATCTTCCCAACTGTGCTTTGCCAACACTTAACACAGAATGGACTTTGTCATTTCTGCGTGCTGTTGGTAAGTTGGCTTTTACAAGCTATGCTTCAATCACATCCTGAGGCTCAGCTGCTGCTCCCGCTCTGCCTCCCCTCACAGCTGCAAGCTCTGCACTGACACCCAGCCAGGTCAGATGTCACCCACTGGTCCCTCTGTGACATTCTTGATGTTAACCAAACTGCAGTGCACAGAAAAGCTCTGACCTGAATGAATGTAGCAGCCATGATGCGAAGGCGGGATGAAGAGTCTCCTGTTCTGGAAAGCAAACCTGGAAGTGTTTTTTCCACACAGTGAGAAGTTTCCAGCTTTCCCAGTTTGTGTTTTGGTACATATTGTGTAATGAGCATTTTTAAAAGTTTCAGGGAAGCTTGAAAAACCTAAATAAAAAGAAAGAAACGGTGAAGAAAATACCATAGGGAAGAAGCACAACCACAGTATTTTTTAAATGGTATCTAAAATTCTTCTGCCTTAGTTTGAGATCTGCTGCTGAGTGATCCCAGCTCTAAGTGATCCCAGCTCTGAGTGATCCCAGCTCTGAGTGAGGCCTTGCTGATTTCACTGGGACAGAGCAAAGGTAAAAGGAGCAAATTGCAGGCTGGAGACATTTTCTTATCACACACATCACCACTTACTGAAGATACGATGTCTTTTATGGCTCTTTTTACAAGAAAAATCGCAGCCCTCAGCATGTTCCTTAAATCCTCCTTGGCAGTGCTTGCTGCCATTTCCATCAGCTTCTTGTACACAGCCAGCAATGCATCTTCTCGATACGACCAACTTTTGGAATATGCTCCAGAGACCTGAACACAAAACAAGATCATCTTTTAAAAAGTCAGTACTGATGTTTCAATATTTATATACAGAAACAACCTGAAAAGAACGCGTGAACTGAAGTATCAAATCCCCAGGCCTTTTCCAAGGGAACCTGGCTCTTACTGCAGGTGTTTCTGCACTTATTTTTTGAGGAATTTGAGTAAAATGGATGAATAGATCATATTTCCAGGAACCACCTGAGACACAGTAATGGTTTCTCTCTCTACAAAAGTCCCTTTTCAGTGCAGGTATCCAGGTAGGGCCTGCACCCCAAGCAGACGACTAGGCAATAAACAGTTAGCAGATTATCAAGTCATCAATCCAAAAAGCTCCAGTGCCAAGGCGGTGCCCAACCTGGGCATCCACATCCCCTGGTCCTGCTGTGTGTTTCAGATCTTTGAAGGTGTAAAAACCACATCAGCAATTCCCCGCTGACTGAGCGAACACCAAACAAACTCACAACAGATCCCAATAATCCACGTGTTTCTTTTGTTGTTCTTTACCAGAGCTTCTCCAAAAACTTCAATAGCAGGGCTGGCCTCCCTCAGTGCCTTCTCACTCAGTGGCTCTGGTTCCCCAGCAATGCCACTTCTTGGAGTATTACTGCTGTCTCCCTCAGTTTTCTCTGGCTCAAGGTATCGAATTGCTTCCTCAGAGTGTTTGTGGATGGCTGGGAGAGGTCTCTCATCATAAGGTAAAAATTCAACCTAACAGGGAAGATAAGAGCTGCTATTCCAGGAATAACTCAGATGTGAAGTTGTTTCATCATTAATTGGGTTTGCCTCGATTCAATTCATTTTTCCCTTCAAAGCAGTACTGCTTTACAATTAAGTACAGATACTGAAGTTTCCATAGAGGTATTGTGAAAAAACAGAATCAGTGCTTCCAAGTAGTGCTTATCTCTTACATCCCATCACACACACACCAAATGCCTTTTGTGGAAGTGCAGTTACAGGAACCACCTGTTGGTAGGCAGCCAGCAAGCCATAAGCTCTACTTGCTAAATGATTTTATGTCATCATGCTATTAAGAGAATATTACTGCTACAAAAGTCACAGCAAGCCTTCATGAGATTTGCCAAGACTCTGCTGCTTTCCTTGCAGTCACATAAATTTGTTTGCTGCTGACATATTTGATCTCCAAGATTTATTAAGCCACTATTAAGCAGACTGCAGCTGCCTGTCCTGCTACCAAAGCAGCTGTGACTCCTGCAGTCATTTCATGTCTATTTTCTGTTCATCCGTCCGTAAGTCAGACATTGTCTTTTTTTTTTTTAATCTTCCATCTGAATGAACATTTTTAACAGCTTTCCAAGAAATTCAGCCAAGTGAAAGGCCAACAGCAATTATTAGATCAGCAATACTCAGCAAACAGTTTCAAATACTGTACAAGCAATGAGAAAAACCACGACAGACCTTGTTGTTTTGGAAGGCTGAGCACAGAATTTCTTGCTGTGGGGATTTCTCTGGCAACAGAGGCACGTTACTTACTTCTTCTTGGGCAAACACTTCCCTGGAGGTTGTGGGATGAGACAGAGTGGGAGGAGTGGCCTGATGGAGAAAAACAGGCTCAGGAGAATGAGGTTCTGCAGGCTTCTCTTCCTGCAAAGACTCTGCTTTCCACAGCTCTCCCTGTGAACTCTGCAGTTCTGTGTTCTCATGAGGAGGTGAATTTGCAGCCTTTGTGTGCTGAAGATGATCATAAACCGCAGGCTCCACAGGCAGGTCGGGTGGCTTTCGAGTCTGAGATGTTGAAAGAGAGGCGACATTGTACTAAAAGCAGTCCTTACATTCACAGCTGTGACAGTAAACAATATTCTGCCTCTTTCAAATGAACATCAGTGCCTTGTGAATCTGTATGTGCAGCTCTGGAATAACACTTAGGAATTTAGATGTTATTTGCTTTAAATTCTAATGTAATTTACTGAGAATTAATCACGTTCATAACGTTTGAGTCTCTGGTTGGGAAAACCCACAGTCCAAAGAAAAAGCCTCTCTGGTAACCACTCTCATTCCCTGCATTTATGCGGGGCGCTCAGCCCTTTCTATTTACAGAACTCATGTGACACAGCCCCCCAAACCAGGAACTGCACCCACCATCAGCTCTGCATCCAGCAGGTTGTGGAGCTGCAGCTGCTGATACACTTTCAGGCGGTACGCATCCATCTGCTGCTTTTTCTTCTTAGCAAGATCATAATCCTCCTTCTCTACAGCATAGCGTTTCTCCACTTCATACCGTCCCAGTCTCTCCCCTACCTGGAAAACATTTCAGCTACTTACCTTGGGATCACAGCATTAGAAATACACACGTGACTTCCAAACAAACGATTAAGCCAGCTGAATTTAAAATGACTGTTTTTACAACACACTGGGAGTTGTTATGCTTCCACGTTAATGCTAAGATCCTTGATGGATCACCAGAGCACCTGGTGGCTTCAGAGACGAGCATTTTTGAGCAGTACCTTCTGCAAGTCTGCAATGGCTTGTTTGAGTTTCTTGGCGTAATCGTAGCGCTCCTGATGGACGGCGTCGTGCTTCTTCTCATCCAGCCTGCGTATTATCTGGGCAACTTCTGGGTCCTGGTACATGTCAAAAGCCAAATCATCCAGAGGTGAGATGGAGTCCGACTTCCTGAAGATACAGGACAAGAGAAATCAATAACTGTGGGTATTTGTTTTCTTTTCACAGGCAGAGAGGTAACGGAATACAGAGACTGAGAACTAATGGAGACCAGGAAGATGTTTGGCAGGGTATATGCAAAAGAATATCTTTACCCTAGGTATGTTCCATCTAAGGCAGGATCATCTGATTTAATTCCTAAGTAGTGGTCAATCAGCTTCTCTCTGGAAGGCTTTGTGGGGAAAAGAAAGATCTTAATGCACATTCATCAACAACATGGGTGTTCAGGATAGAAATTCTGACATTGTAATTGTGAGAACTTTAAGGGTGCAAATGCAAATGTTCCAATTGATTGTTTTCATTTTCGCATACACAACTTAGGCTCAATTTCTGAGATCCCCCTTATTTCAAAGTTAGATCAAAATCAATGTACATCACCTCTGCTGAAGGATGAAACTACCAGAAGATGCATTCATTATCTCAAGAACCCTGCAGCTCAACATGTGCAGCAACAGTAAAAGCACAGGGGTGCTCTGCACTTACCTGTTTATTGCTGTCATTACTGTAGTCTGCTGGATCTCCAATAATATTTATAGCTACCAGGGCAACCTGAGAGAGATTGAAAGAAAAAGTGAAAGCACAAGGTCATTATTTTGTTCTTATCTCAGACAAATTGAAAAGCATGTTTAAGCACACACAGCCAGTCAGTTGCTGACACTTTGTGCTGATTCACCCTCCAAATCTGAAAAATCAAGTAGTGATTTACTCCAACTCATCTCTCTCCTTCTGTTCCTTGCTTTTACTCAAATGTGGGAAAATGTACAACTTCAATACTGTCTACAAACTTACCTTGTCTTCAGCACAGAGCCTGCTACGCAGGCTAAAACTCAAAACAAAAGACAGTGATGGAACGTGCACTGAGCTCATCTGCTCTGCATAAGCTGCATTTGGCCACGAGTGAAAATGAACTCAGGAGCTTTCATCAGCATTTCAGCTTCTGCAAGTGCAGGGGGAAGATTTCTGTGCCCACTCTGTGCTACTGAAACTCCATCTAGCTTACAAAGCAAGGAGCACAACTCAACTTACCTGACTGTACAAGTTGTATTTATTGTCATAATTTTTATGGAAAATCAGCTTCAGGTACTGGCCAACTGCATCCATATACACAGATTTTAACTCTCGAGCTTTGAAACCTGTCTTCTCATTGTCTGAGAGAGGGACATAACTGAGAAGGAAAACGTAGCAGTAAGCAGAGGAAAACACAAACACACAGCTGTGCTTTGGCTCCTCAACTAAGCATTTTGATCAGGTTTAAAACTCACTCATCAACCAAACAGCACGCTGTCATTTACACCAGTGTTCACCTGCATCATGCCTCTCACAGCAACCAGACAAACCTCACCGGCTCGTTAAGGCCCCACTGCTTTAAGTGGGATTGATTTTAACCCACTGTTTTCAACATGGCTGGATCAGCCCCAGTATCCCCAGATTGCTTTTTATTTCCTTCTGAGGCCTTGATTAAGGTAATAGAAGAATTCAGAGCTGTCAGACTCACCCTAGTCTGTGAAACCTCTCTGACTGATAAGGAGCAAAGTATTCAGGCAAGCTTTCACTGATGAAGAACTCAATTTTGCTTGATATCATGTACTGGTGAGCAAGCAGCTGCAGTTTTCGTATTCGACATCTCTCCACCAACTGCAGAACGATTTCTTGTGGGTACTGACAGAGTCTGCAAATGTGCACAATGTTGAGCCATCTTTTTAAAGATCACTTCACTGCCACCTTGAATAACATTTAATCATGAAACTTTCCAAAGTTGTTATAGTTTGCCATCGTTACAAATATTGCAAAAAAAAAAAAAAAAAGAGTAGAAACATTTTTCACTTTAATGCATGTGTGTGTCTGTTAATGTGCACTGCTGTGGTGGTTTAACATGGCAGCATATCAGTCACTATGCAGGAAAAGGACTGTTCCAGCTGAAACTAAGACAACTACATACATCCATAAGATGTATTGTGAAGATTGTAGTTTTAATACCAAGTCAACGCAGTCACAAACTCTAAGATGACCTTTTGTTGTAACCAAGGCTTTTTTTTCCCCTGCAGAACAAGGATTCCACAGGGTTAAAGTAACTCAGAAGCTTTTGTTTTATAACCAATTTGGTCTAGCATGCATTAAACTAGTTGAGCACGCATGCTGCATCTCCCACTCACTGCACACTCAGTGCTGGAGGATTAAGCATGTCCCTTTCCCTTGCAGTACCTCGGTGACCGCCATCCATTCACTGTTGGTGCGTGGACCATCAGCTCCTTTGCACTGAAGCCATCTTCGTGCCCCGATGAGCTAACGACTACAAAGCCAATCTTGTGCGGCATCCTGCAGAGGCGAGCTGTTCAAAACAACCACGTTTCAAACTTAAGCTAATCCCTAGGAAGGCAATAAAACAACACTGAAACAGCGCAGTCCAAGAATTCCATACTGCGGTCCATTAAGCCAGCAGCTGATGACTGTAAATCTGAATTTATTGAATGCCAGCTCCATAAAATGAGACATGTTCTTATGCTGAGTGTTTTAGCAGGACTTGGTGAAGCGAGGGCTCGGTTAACTTGTACAGCTAGTTAAACCATCAGACTGTGCAAAAAGCAGAGCCCTTGTGGGCTCCTTCCAAGTACCGGAAGGCTAAATATAACAATCCAAGACTAAACTCAAACCGTGATGAGCCTAGAAGCTTCTTCTTGCCCCACATGTCCAGATGCAGGACCTTCAGAGCAGCGTGACAGCGTGTTTGACAGGGAATAATAATAACAAGAGGACAGAATCGACCCAGGCAGAAGTCACCCAGCAGCATTTCACAGCCATGCAAGTCTACAGACACACAGACAGACAAACACACAGAAACACAGGCACAGACACAGGCACACAGACACACAGACACACAGACACACACACACACAGACCCCAGGACGGCGCTGTGAGGAATCTCTTCCCGCCCTTCCCTCAGCACGGAGGGCAGCGCCCCGCAGGCCGCAGCTCGGGAAACGGCCCTTACCGAGCCGTTCTACGGCCCGAGCCGCCACGTAGGGGCCCTGAATGCCGGGAGGGCTTGGCACAGCCCTTCGAGGGGAGATCCGCGGCCGAAGGGAAGCAGAAAGGATCGAGCCAGGCCTACACAGCACCGCACTCACCTCAGCGCGGCTCCATCGCTCGTCACCGTAGCAACGGCGCGGGCGCCGCCACGCATGCGCAGCGCCCAACGCGGGCCGCAGCAACGCGCATGCGCACGGCGGCAGGCGGGGGAGCGGCGGGCGCAGCGATGGCGGCTCCTCTCAGGCCATTCCGCCTCCGCCGCCCCGGCAGCGCGCAGAAGTTCGGGGCGGCGGCGGGGAGCCTGCGTGGGCTGCTGCGAAAGGGCTGCCGGCTGCTGCAGGTGCGGATCGGGGGTCGGGGGTCGCGGGTCTCGGTCCCGCGGGTCTCGGACCCGAATGACCGCCCGGGCAGCTCCCGTTGGCAGGCAGCCGGCTGTGCCTCTACGAGGACGGGACGGAGCTGAGCGAGGCGTTCTTCCGCACGCTGCCGCCGCAGACGGAGCTGGTGCTGCTGCGGCCCGGGGAGAGCTGGCCGGGCTGTGAGTGCGGGGCGGGGCGGGGAGCTGCGGGCTGAAGGGCGATCCGTGTGCGGCTGCTGACGGGCGCTCCGCCCGCAGGTTGCGGGGACCTGGAGCGGTTCCTGGCCGCCCTGTGCTGCCGGACGGACGCGGTGCTGGAGGCCGCTCGGAGGCTGCTGGAGGACGAGCGGGCGCCCCGCAGGCAGAGGCTGCTGGCCGATCTGATCCACAACCTGAGCGGGGACGGCGCGGCCGAGCGCCGGGACGAGGACGGGAAGTGGTTCGAGGGTACGCGATTCCTCGTGCTCCCATGGAGCTCCGGCAGTGCCGGCTGGCGCCCGGGGTGCCTTGTGCTGATAAGAGCCCCGGCCCTGCCTTCCTGCCCTGATTTGCTGATATCGATAAGCATTGCTCAGATCCGCTCTTGGCCTTCTCATCCCCGGGCTGAGCCCCGTGGTTCTCTGATGCTCCGGACCCCGCATCTCTGCAGCCCTCTGCTGGGCGTCCCAGAAATCCCAGTCAGGCTTGAACAGAGGAGCCCAGAACCCTGTGGAACGGAGTTCCACATACAAAGAGCACAATAATGCTATTCGATAGAGCAAATTCTCAGTTACAAAACACTGCTTTTCTATGCAGTCACCACCATTAGCTGTGCATTCTCACCAGTGATGAACAACAGCCTGTATGTAGCAGCTGACACAGCCCTGCTCTCGAAGTAGATGGGCTGTGTGGTTCTGTTAAGCCCTGACAGCAGGCTTGAACCAGTGAAAGAAAAAAGCCTGTATACTGAGTTTGTGAAGGCACAAGGACACATCTAAGCAGATGCACAGAACTAGAAGCACTGTACTAAATTCATCTGGTTCTCTTTAGGTCTAGAATCTCGTTTTAAGAACAAATCAAGCTATATGCGGTACAGCTGTGAAAGCAGAATACGAAGCTACATGAAAGAGGTAAAAGTGTGACTGCATGTTAAGTACACACACGTATATATAAGTACCTTTGTAGTCCAGCACAGCACTTGTAGAAGAGACACAAGCTGCTCCAGATGCCAAGGAATGACTGTACTTCTTTTTTTTTTTTTTTTTTTTTAGGTTAGTAATTTTATTTCAAACGTTCATCCTACAGCAAGAGATGCATATAAAAGGATACTTGACCTGATGTCGGATAAACTGAAATCTGTGAAATATAATGGCAGCTACTTCGACAGGACAGAGGAGGAGGCAGCGATGCGCCTGTGCACAAAGGAGGGATGGTTCTCTTGCCAGGTAGGTTCAGCCCTGCTCCAAAGCAGAGTCTCTGGTTCTAAGAAGCAGCAGTGACAACTTCAGAGGAAGGAGACGGTGACTTCAGTGCTTGCATAGAGAAGTGCTGAGTTTTGGCAGTGTTTTCACCTGTGTGTGGTTGTGGTGAGAGGAAGCTGCATCAGTTCATGACTGGGATGAGCCGGGATGATGAGCAGCCATCTTGTTTTACAGGGCCCTTTTGACAGAGATGACTGCCCATGTAAGCATTCTATCAACCCCTATACTAACAGGGAAAGCAGAATCCTCTTCAGCACCTGGAATCTCGATCACATGTATGTATAAAGCATCAATCCAAATTCACCTGTTCAGATTCTGCCTGTATGGGAATTCACCCTGCTTACCACATTATCCTTTATGAAAGATATCCTCCCTTCTTTCCCTTTCTGGCAGAAACCTTCACACCTCTTTCCAGGCATTGTGTATTTCTGAAGCAAAGGGAATTTGCTAAATTGATTTCTTCATAAAAACACTTCAAACCTAGTTGTAGTAAAATAATGCAACTTCTGCCTTGCTTTAGAAGGAAGATGGAGACATACTGTTAAGGAAACAGATTTTGCTAGCAATATTGTTTTCTCTTTTGCATTCTGCAGAATAGAAAAGAAACGTAGTGTTGTCCCAGAACTGGCAGAAGCTGTCAAAACACGAGATGGAAGAGAAGTGAACTGGGAGTACTTTTATCAGCTATTGTTTACAATGCATAATCTAAAACTCGTACATATTGCTTGCCATAAGAAAACCAATCACAATCTCAGCTGTGACAAAACTAAAATTTACAGAAAAAGGAAGCAAACCCGTGAGATTGCATAGCGCTCCCTTTGGAAGCAACTTCTGGTTTTGTTTTTTTCCATTTCAAAATCATGTAAGATGGCATCATGTTTACGTCGCTCTTGTTTCTTAAACAAAACCTTACTTAGCAAGTCTCTTCTGCCAAGGACTTCTTCCTTTATCACCTCCAGTGCATTAATTGAACTGCAATCTCACAGAGCACGCGTTCAGACCGTGCCTGATTCTCCCACCTTAGGTGACACAGTGCTGAGTGTGATAAGCTGACTCACAGCTGCAGTGTGCAGAATAGAGGCCAGAAGCTGACACTGATGATACCTTATGATTTCCTGCTTGCTGTAGTAAATGTAGGTGCAAAATGCATGGTACAGCAACGGAACTTTCTTGCAAATGATTCAAAGCAGATTGATACTGCTCTGAATGTTAAGGCAAACAAAGAATACTTCAGGGTAATTATTCTGTGCCTTCACCAGGAAGACAGGCACTGTACTGCAGACAGGCCAAATGATTCAGTGGCAGAGCTGCTGGCTTTTCTCTACGAAAATACCTGCACTCGTCTGTGACCATTCAGTCCATTGTTGCATAGATGCAGGTCTTCTAGGAGAAAGCATGTGGTGCATCTCTGCTTTTATCACCCTTGTGCTCTGGCATCTTTCCCACTGATTTCCCTCAGTCTTTGCCTCTCTAGATCGAGCTTTCTTGAAGCAAAACCTACAATCTTATTATACAGTAATCATGTTTGTCTGCAGAAACTGCTTCCGTGAAACACTCTCTACCTCTCAGGTAACAAAATACAAGTAGATCATTTTTTACATTTTTTTTTTCCTAAATATCAGCTGATAGCAGCTGAACTCTCAGGGATGAGTATTTTTTAAATCAAAAAATAAAAGTAAAATCACTGCCATCTTTCTGTGTATCTGGAGGTAGAGGTGCATGAGTAGTCAACAGTAAGGTATAACACAGCTTGGCCACTGCAGACTAGAAGGACTTAGCACAGGAAAAGGTGCTTATCAATTAAGTAGTGGATGTTTACCAGACATAACATCATTTACCTCAAAGGAAAGTTCTGGGTGTTTACTTTGGTTGTTGGTTTTGGTCTTTTATTTCCATTTTCTTCCTATCACCTCTTTCTTATCAGATAAATTCATCTAGTTCAGACAGGATTGTTATTAAGATAGTATTGCTGTGTGAGTCCTGACTTGCTGGGACTTGGAAATGCAGGAGTTTTGCTACAGCCAGTGCTAATTAAAGCAACAATTCAATTCCTTTCCCAAACATTTCTACATGAAAAATAAGCAGGTGCATTTTCAGTAAGGAGTTCCAGCACCATTGGATTGAGCCTTTCTGATCATCTCACTGAATATACATCAACTGTAACAGAGGTGAAAATGCACGTTCTGGTGTTTTGGTGTTGGGGAAGGGACTGCAATAAAGACTCTGACAACAAGCACTGTGCTGTCAGCGTGGCACATTTCTTACAAACACCATTTTGCACTGTGTGTGAAGATACTGCCTAGGGGAAAAAAAATTAGTAAGATGGCATTTAAGGAAAGCTGGGAGAACTGCTTTTAGATGGAGTTGTGATGAAAACCACGAGCACGCTAAAATATGAAGATTTTTTTTCAGTGTTACAGACTTAAGAGTAAAAAGGAGCCAAGAACTAGCACTGACAGAAACAATACATCAACTGGAGTGGGAATTTGAATAAATTAACATGTCATGCATATACGATTTGTTTGGCTTCAGATTTTTGAATGTTCAACACATTGTAGCTGTAGAAATTAATATTGATTTAAACCATCTGCTGATCATATTTCCTCTGCATTTTTAGAAACAGTTTCTTTATTTTTACAATAATAAATATCTGAGAGCTTCTTGCAGAATCACACTTTCAAAGTATTATCATGAACACTGGATGAGTTAGCAATTCCTGGAATCATATGAGGTTGCTCATCATCATCTAAAAAATGCAGGCCAGAAATAACAGATTTGAAGGACTGACCCATATCTACTTGGCCACCAGCACTTGTTTGTCTACCAGTAAAGTCCTGCTGAGAGATTCTGTTCTGCCTTTATCACTGCCAATGTGTTTCTTTACAGAATTTCTGTTCATAACCTTTGGAAGTCATTTGAAAATAATGAACAATCTGCATTGCAGAGCTGTCAAAAGGGCAGTGCTTACAGCTGATGTGGTGGAAGATGGAAGCTGTGAGCTTCACATGGTTGTTCAGAAAACAGAGGAGCAATAAAAAAACACTAATGTCTGGAGATTAAAAACACTGAATTCATAATCACATATGTGCAGAGTCTTGCCAGCAGAATTGCATTTTAAAGGCAAACAATGCAAGGCAACTTGCACAACAGAAGCTGGTGTCCCTCTTTGAAGTGAGCAAGTCAAGTGGCTGCATTACTAGCAAGATGCTGTAATGGCAGACATCCCAGAAAGAAAAGAACTGTCCCAAGATGATAATTTTTTAAAAATAAGTGAGAATAGGCCAAGTGTTTTCTGTAAATATGAGTTCAGACTTGTAACAATAGGAGCTGATATTTTCCATGCTTTTTTATAGGTACTAGTGATTAATAATCAATTACAATTTATGTCCAATTCTCTGAGCATTCAGTCAAACTCTGCCCTAAAAAAAGTGTGGGGAATCCTGTCTCTGACAACTCTGTAGAAGCAGACTCTACCCATTCTCTAAGAAAATGCAAACACTGACATCATGCTAGTGATACAGCCAACCACCAGCACTTTGGTAGAAAGACAAAGAAAACTGAAAACAAAGTTTCCTCTGTTTTACAGTTTGCTGCTAGAGAGCATCCTCGTCCTCCTCCTCATCTTCCTTGGCGATGAAATGCAGCCTTCTGTATTCCCTCCTGCTCATTGCTGTGCTCGGGAGTACAGCTGCCAGCTGATCCTGAAAGAAGAAATCATGAAGTGAAGTTGCTGCGAAAGGCAGGCGTCCCCCATCTCCAGCAGTTCCCATCCTTCCCCACTCATACATGAGGCACTAACACACACACATGCAAGTGGCATCTGAATAAACCCTTAGAGTGCAAAAGGGAGCCTGTCTGAACCAGCCACTGCTCATGGTCAAAGTGAGGGCTGCCATTCCCTCTGCAGTCTTAAAAAGGATGCAGAGGAGATAAAAGTCCTCCACAAATGAATCCTCGCTGCTCCCACTAAACACAGCACTGATGAAACAGATAAAAGATGAAGGCATCACATGTCCAAATGTTCATAGTGTTAAAGGCAGACTCTCTCTTACCTGCATAAAGTCAATGTTTCCAAAGAACCGATCCACTGGCATCGGCTGGTTACTGTCTTCATCCAAGAAAGCACTGTTATCCAGTTCTCTTAGTTTCTTAGGGATGTCTCCATCCTTCAAGTCGGTCCCTTCCAAAAGCAAGCTCTCACAGCTGCTCCCCTCCTCCCTGCAGGCACGATCTGGCAGATTCTCACTGCTTTCTGTTTTTGAAGAAGCTCTCCTTGATTTCGCTGCACGTGGCTTTGAAGAAACATCACGTTCCTTCCGTTTTTCTCCACCAGTCTCTGGGATGCTTTCACTTTTTTCCAGTTGAATTACCTGGTCATCTCCTGTACCTTCTGGAGTTGAGCCCTCAGCGGGTGCTTTAGGGGCAGGAGGGTTCTCAATCCCACACACACAACCTTCCAGTCCTGACTTCACCAGACTCGTTCTTTCGCATTTTAGCCTCTTAGAGGGCCGTTTGCCAGCTGCTTTGTGTGAACAAGTCTGTTAGGAAAAAAAAAAAAACCAAAAACAAAAGAAGCTCCTGAAGTTCAAAAGCACCTGAAGACATCAGCAGCCAGCTCGTGTGGGGAGGCCGGGCACGAAGCTGTGAGAGAAACCTCACCCAGCACAGCCACAGCGGGAAACACGAGTGGGAGAGTAAAGAGGTCTAAACAGCGCCTCGTACAGCCCACGGCCAGCAGAGCACAGAGCAGGGCAGGACGTGGCTGACCGCCATCCTCGTGCCATCCGCACGGCTTCCACATCCCGAGCGCTCTCCAGGCGCTCCCCGTCCCGTCCCGCGACAGCAGCCCGATTCGGCCCTCACCTGCCGCCTCCTCCCGCCGCCGGCCCCGCTGGCCGCCTTCCCGCCCGCCGCCATCTTGGGGAGGGGCGGTGATGCCCGGCCTGGTCCGAGCGCCGCGCTGCGGGCCGCCCTTACCGACGGGAGGGGCGGGGAGAGGCCGCGGGCTGCCGGGTATCCGGGCCCGTCGGGACGTTAAGTCGCCTTTTGGTGAGGCAAAACGCAGCGCCCAGATTTTCTCCTGGAAAGGGACTAAAATAAATTTGCGTGCAGGCTGTGTGGGTGATAAACGCGTCAGGTCTTTAGCTTTCCAGCGCCTTCTTTCTGGAAGCTTTGGTTCTAAGATGTGCATTAGGAAGTGCCCTCGGGGAACGAATGGCGTCAGGAACGCAAATCCCTCCTTAACTTCAAGGGCTGTGAGGAGAGCCAGGAGTCTGATGATCTCTGTGTGTCCTCATGGGAGGCGACGGCTGGGGGGCGCTCCAGCCGACAGCTCTGCCCATAGCACAAAACCACATCCCTGCTTTCTGTTAACTGCGTGCTTTCGGGACACGATGGGGATCTCTATCATTCAGGATAGATAATGTGCTTCCTTGCTGCAGAGCCACGCCACAATTCTCAGCTTGGGGCTGCTACCTGTGCTCCTGCCCCAAGCCAGCACATAACATTCCCATCTGCGCATCCTGGCCTGAAAAAAACCACACGAGCAACAGTTTAAACCTCAGAGATGCGGCAGCAATATTCCTCTGAGGACATTCAGCTTTTTCTTAGCACTGCAACGCCTGCAGAAGTTGGAGAACAGGCCTGGTGCGTTGTTGTGCAGCTTTGCTCAGTGCTCAGGGGTCTTCTGCGCTTTGTTCTGTGGCTGAGATGATTCATATTCTCCTCCAAAGCACCAAAACTTGCTCCACTGTCAGTGTTGTTGCTCGCAGCCAAGGAATACAGATGATTGTTTTTATTATACAGTGAAAACTTATACTGCCTCATAAACAGGAGAGACTGGAACTGGCTGCAGAGCAGCGTTTCTGCTGCTGGAAAGCTTGGTTGCCATTTCAATTTCTTCTGTGAACTGAAAATAGCAAGGAAAAAAAAAAAAAGATTTTGAAGATGTTAATGAATGGTTTCCGTAACCCTGAGGTGCCAGACTCAGCCAGGTGGCCTTGGACACATCCATGCACATCCTTGTCTGTGCACACCTTGCACAAACAAAGCCAGAACGCCAGGGCTTAGAATCAGCTTCATAACATTTGGAAAGACTTCTGAGATCGTCAAGTCCAACCATCAACCTGTCGAGATTCTTTGCAAAGCTCCTGGATTCCACGTACTGCCTTCTCTCTCAATAACAATCTTCCTTCAAGGGAAAATGGGGGCAATTTCACAACTGCAGATGTTGCATTTTCTGATCACTCTCTGAGAAAACATCAATTGCAGAGTGCAGAGAGGCCCCCAGGAGAGGCAGCAAGAACGCCGTGGAGATCTGCCCACATCTCAGAGCTCAGTGCCTCTGGAGTGCCTTGAAAGGCTGCGCAGAGACTGCCAGCAGCCAACAAGCCCTTAAAGAGAAGCAGAGCAGCGTAAACTATTTACATTAAATTCACATTTCCACATAAAAGAGGACTTAGTCTCAACCATATTAAAAAGTGGTTTTTATTAGAATCTGTCGTCTAAGCAGGCAGGCAAAAAAAAAAAAGGAAAAAAGAAAAAAAAGCCATTTTCTGAGCTCCCTTGTTTTTATGAGAGCTGGCTGGCGGGTATGAAGCAGCAGCTGATGAGCTTATTGAGCAGGAAGGGAGGCTCGGGCTGTGAAATTCGATGTGTAAATTAGCTTCTTGCAGCACTTGTCTCTGTGCCTGTCACTTCCACCAGTGTCTCTGTCTGTTATAATCCTGCAAGTTCATTTGGTTAAACATTGGTGACATGCAAGGGACAGCAGCCAAAAATAACGTTGCCTGTAAATGTAACGGCTGCAAACTGTTGAGTGAGAGATCTATCAAACTAACCAAGCATCCAGCAGGAGCACGGACTGGTCTTTTCCTGCTATGGAAAAGTTATTTTTAGCTCGAGTGGCTGCAGTCATTTTTCTTCATTAGCAGCACCTGGGGAGAAAGCAGCATGAAGATGCACCACCTCCCAGCTGGGGCAGTGAGATCTGGGCTGTGGTGTCCCTCTGCCCTCAGCCTGCTGGCAGAGCAGCTCCAGCAGGATGGCTTCGCTGAGCTTTGGAGACACAGCTTTTCCCCCCGTCGTTCTTCCCAGTCGCACCGCCGCAATGTTGTCATGCCAACTCAGGTAATGACAGTGAATACTGAAGTGCTGATCTGGGGCTCCTGGAGCCACTGTCTCCTGGAAGAATTGCTGATGAGCTGATAACCCAGCCAGAACTGAAACATTCAGGGGAGCCTGCAGCCCTCTGACACCTGCTGCCCTGAGCAGTACCATCCTGAGTGCTTCTGCACTGCTCCAATCCAAATAAGACCTTTGTATTCATTACTTAGAAATACTCACACCAGGAACCAGAGAGGCCATACATAAAAACAACAGGAAACCCATGCCACGTAATTACATTTTACGCTTGCCACGTGAAAAACCTTCCTGAGTCTTATTTTAGGTTTCTTTCTTATCAAGAACAAAATGCGGAGTGCCAGAATATGGAGCTAATAGAACAGTACACTGCCTTTGCCAAAAAAGAAATTCATTCCTTTAATGAAAACCCTCAAGGCAGATGTAAGAACCCAAGAGTGCAGAGGAGCTGCCTGCGCTGGCAGGTGCTCCTGGTGCAAATACCTGGCTTTTGTAGCTGTTTCAAGTGGTAATACAGCAAAGCCTTCTTCCCCAGGCACTGCCCACAGCTTCATACCCTTCCAACGGCTCCAGCAGCTCTGAGCAATGTGGATTTTTTAAAGAGCCTCACAAAACCCGAGTAAATCTCTCCCAGCACAAAACAGCCCACTGGGACCGGTCCTCGGCAACCAGTAATCGGTGTGATTACACTGCTGCGGCAGCCCAGCATCGCTGCCACAATGCAGCCCCACGTTTTGTTCCGATTGCATCTGATCGCTGCGTTCACAGCGTCGTGCAAACAAGTCTTCTCCTCCGGGTGGGGGGCTGCAGACGCTGGGGGTCACTGTTCCACCGGAGATGCCTTGAGAACCGCAGCTCCTGCCCGCTGTCACTGCCTGCGACCCGAGACCTGCCTGGCACACGGCAGCCCTTCTCCTGCCCTGGGCGCAGAGCTGCAGCCTTACCCAGCCTTACCCAGCCCTGCTCAGCTCTTCTCCCAGCGACAGGCAGCGTTTCGGTAAACGTTCTCCATTATTTAGCGTTGTTTCTTTGGGGAGATTAAAAGCGCTTGGAGCCGACGTACCTCTCCTCCACGCACACCTGACAATGATAGAAGAGGCTGTTTTACAGCAGGCTCATTAAAAATAAAACCACTGTGTTGATTTCAGTAGCTTGAATTACTTAAGCCGGTGTAATGGGATAAATATTTGATGGCAAAGTTTATTAGATTTCCACTGATATTATGTTGCTGCTAAAAATATACAGGATTCTTTAAAGCCTGCTCGGTGTCTCTGAATGGAGGCAATTGGAAACCTGTCTCTGAATCTGCCCGCAGGGATTGCTTTGGGATGTGAACAAATCATCTCTTCCCTTTTATCCTCTGCAGGTACCTGCGAGTGTGTTCTGCTCCCACTGGACCGAGCAGTCCCTGCCAGGCACATAGAGAAGCAGGGGCCAGTCTGCAGCTGCTGGGCAATAGAAGATCACCAGCATGTTTTCCATTCTGCACTTATTTTCAGAATTGTACCCAGTGCATCCCTTTGAACCCAGCTTGGGACGAGCCTTGCCGTTCAGCACAGCCATGCCCACACGCCTGCTGCAGCCCCATCCTAAAGCAAACTCACAGCACATCTCCTGCCAGTGCGTGGTGGCAACTTGTGCAACCCTCAGCCTATAAATATTTCTGTTTGCCTTTGAAATGATTGCTGCGCAGAGATGTTCTCCCTCTCTGTCATGCGATTAACTCTTGTTCATTTTCTGTCACTCGGCTTGTGATAATTCAATACATAATGTTTATAAAGCCTCACCGATTTTGTTCCTGGCTCTGAAGAATTCCTGATCCGTGGGCAGATGAGCAGTGACCCCATGGGCAGAGCTGGTCTGAGCACAGGTGCTGGGCCAGGTAGTGCCTTAACAGAGCGAAAACCATCATGATTTGCATCGAGAGGAATCTTCTTCCCTGGTATCTTACAGGAGTGGGAGCTTAAGCTGCCTGGGGAATATTGCTACAGCTCAGTAGCTCCCCGAATTAAAAAAGGACAATTACAGCTGAAACACCACGGAATGGTGATTGCTGAGGCCAGACTTTTGCCAAGTCTCTCCTTTCAGAAAGAATCGAGCTTCATTGGCAAGGCAATTTGCTGTTGGTTTTCTATCCCCTCCACTCCTGAGGTCAGAGGTTTCATGTAAAAAGCTGCGTCTGCTCCTCTGAGAAGACCTTCCACCAGCGGGGCTCCTCAAACAGCATCTATCTCAGAAGAGCAGGAAAAACAATCAGAGGAGACATGTTCTGTTCATGCAACAGCAAGCAATATTGTACCACTGGCAAGATTCACACTGAGACAACTGCTCTGGTGTCCTCGAGTGCTGCGTGCTCATGCGTTCGTTCCAACTGGGGACCTGAGTGCAACAGGAACAATTCACTCATCAGCCCTACAAGGCTCCGTAATGAAGCCAGATCCTCATTACAATCTGTTTAAATATTTTTTGCATTGAAGCATGCCTCCATCACCTCCATTAAGAAACCAGTGGTGCGTATCCTCCGCACTCTTTTGAAGCTGTTCTGGCGGAGCAGCTCCATCAGATGATACTACAGCATGAAGGCACCTTCTGCCCGCAGAAGGGCTGCTGTGCCTTGCCTCATGTCTCTGCTCCTCTCCCAGGGCCTGGCAGACTCTGAGTGCAGCAGTTCCTTCCTGCTGAGTGTCTCTTGTCCAGTTCACCCATCAAGGAGGAGCATCAGCCCCTCAGGTGTCCGTCAGGCGGCCAGAAGCCATGTGGCACACAGTGAGAGCCCCTTCTGACAGCTGGAT